AAATGAAGCTAGGTTAAATATCTTCCCATGTTCACAGAGGAGTTAAAGTATTGGATATTCATGTAGGTCTCAGTAAATGATGCAGAAATACAGAAAAAATAATAAGCACTGTGCATGTGGAAAAGCTCAGATGAGCATGTCCAGAGGTGATGACAAGAGATTTACAGTCCCAATATTCCCTCACCTCGGCAGCAGGTGCTCTCCACAGAACCGCTCAATTCTCTTCCTTTCCTCCTCTTCCCCTCCAACTTTAGATCCCCTTCCCATTTGCAAAACATGTATTTGCCTGTTTCCTATTGTCTCTTCTATTTCATTTTTTGAATTATATGTAGTTTGGTTAAGAGAAGAAATTATGCAGTATTTAAGCTCCTGTGTCTGATTTATTTCATCTAACATTATGGTCTCACGGTGCATCCATTTTCCTGCAGATGACTTGGACTTATCCCACTTCAAGGCGCAGTAGTGCTCCCACCACATTTTCCCTATCCATTCATTAATGACACATAAGCCTCTTCTAAGATTTAGCCTTTCTGCTATGAAAACAAATTTGCATGTATCTCTGTACCATAATATCTTTAACTCTTTTGAGAAGATACCAAGAAGGGGAGCAGCTAGGTTGAATAGAATTTCTCATTTTAGTTATTTGAAGGATCCCTATACTCATTTCCAAAGTTGTTGGACCAATTTAGAATCTGGCCAACAATGTGCATGGATTTTTTTCCCTGAAGTTTTACAGCATTTCTTATTGCTATTTTTTTTTCATTTTAGCCATTTTTGGAGTAAGATGGAATCATAATGCTTTTTTTTTTTAAATTTTCACTCTAATGCCAAAGATGTTGAATGCTTTTTCATTTATTTATTGTCCATTTATATTTCTTGTTTGGAGAAGTGTCTATTCATGTCAGTTGCCCATTTTTGATTGGGCCTTTTATTTTGGGGAGTCTAATTTGTTTTGAGTTCTTTGTAAATTTTAGGTAGTCTTCCTCTGTCCTCTAATAACTTCTGTAGAAGCCACTTACAGACAGGTGCCTGGTAAGATTTCAGTGAACCACGCTAGGGTATTTACTGGAGAATTCTGTAGAATACTCCTGAATTACATGAGTGTCTAGTCTATGTCGGTGAGGAAGAGGTAATGGTTTGCTGAAAATGCTTACAAATCCTTCTAAAACTGAACACACTTGAGGGCAGTGGATTTACACAGTATAAAGCTTTCTACCACACTGAATCTTTAAGTGCTTTAAGCACCGACAATGACAGGAGATTTGCCTCAACATCACCAGTTCTCTTTCAAACCAAGAGAAGGCAGCACAGCACACCTGGAGATGCTCCTGAGAGGACGCGGAAGAAGAAAAGCCCAGCACTCATTACACATGTGAGTGCGTCAAGTGCCTCATGTAGATGCCCTGAATGTAGAGGACTGCAAGATTGATTATGCCCAAAGCAGGCTAAGAAGAGCGAACCCCACAACTGGGTGTTTACAGAATTGAGCCTGGCAAAAGCCTACTGCTGGCATCTGAGTAACTTGCACCCAAATTCCATTTCCACAGCTAAATCCTTCAGACTGAAGGACAGTGTTCTAATTATGATCATATATTTTGTCTATTTTGTCCCTAATTTGAGAATGCTTTATCTTGTCCTCTATGAGCCTTGTTTACATTAATTTCCATAGAAACTACACATAACCTTTACCCAAACTGATTGCCAATAAAAGTCAGTGCCTAGGACTGGCCAGGGTCTTTGCTAGTTGTACTGGTGTTGGTTGTCCTGGCCCGCACCTTCTCTTTCCTAGTTCTGTCTCCTAGTGTATTCTTTTTCTCAGGCCCACATTGACACTGGGCAGATGGGGACTGGGACCTCACTGCAGGGGTCTCTGATGCTGAAGATGAAGAAAAGGCTTAGGATGTGGTATGTCCATGTAGCAACTCCTCACAAGGAGTGCAATCACTAGATACTACACATATGTCCCAAGAAAAATAAATAGTTGTGTCTCACAAAAAGTTTACTTGGTTTAAAAATAAGTGAAATCTGGCGCATGTCACATCATGCATGGACTTGGATTCATAATACTTTGAGAAATAAGTCACCACAGAAGAGCAATTACTGTGTGATCCCACTTATAAAGGTACTGAAATCAGTAAAATTCACAGGGAAAGAAAACAGAATGGTTCCTAAGCACAGGGGAAAGGAAAACCACAGCTCACTGCTTCATGAGTGAGGAATTTCAAGTTCAAGGCAACAGAGCTGTGACGTGTACGGGGTCCACGCTGATCACATGACTTGTGAGTGTGCCTGACACCATGGAAGTTGTATGTAAAGACAGCGGAGACAGTAAGTTTTAGGTTGTGTGTATTCCACATAAAAGCTCAGGAAAAGCATATTATGCATGATAACTAGGTAACGGAAGAGGAAAACTATCACAGGGACTGCATCACTTTTACCTGTTTTAAAACTGTTGTTTATTAAGGGTGGCATTGATTAAAGTAAGGCCACGCCATGCTCCCTGGATTTAGAAGCGGGGGTGTCTCAGTCACCTCTTCCCTGAGAGGAAAGGACACCAGCAACTAAAGAGAGGTTTGCTTTGGCTCACTTCTAGAAGTTTCTGTCCTGGAAGGCCAGGGGCTGGGTGGAAAGGGGCTGGCAGAGGAGAGGGGCTCACCTCACAGCACCACCGGAAGGCGGAGAGAGGAGGCGGAAGCCAGCATGGAGACAACCGCTTCCGGTCCGCGGCCTCTCTTCTGACCAGGTCTAGAGCCCACAGCGGCCGCTGAGATCCGTCTGGTTCTGCTCACAGGAGGCGCTCGGGAGGATTGGGCCCTGCCCAGTGAGGGGACTGTGCAGGGGCCGTCGGACCCGCCTGCTGTCAGAAATGTGCCTCCTTTTAAGCATCCACTGAGTGCCCCGAGTCCGCCCATCTCAGCCCCAGGAGCCCGAGCTGGCTGGACATGAGGATTGAATGAAGGGTCGCCCTTGGCCAGGCTGCTCCACCTCCCTCCTGCACTGCTTGCCCTTGCTCATGTCGGGTTTTTCATTTTCCGCCTTGCAAAGAGTGCCGGGTCTGCGTGCTTTTCTCAAAGGACAGGTACAGGGGAAATTCGTCTTGAAGGGAACATTCATAGTCACAGGACGACACAAGGCATGGCGGGGTCAGCAGGAGTCACCGGCGTGAGCTGTTATTCCTGTGCTCACCGAGCTCAGACACAAACATGACTTGCAGAACACACCAACTGCGATGGCACAGGACAGGACACATCTGCTCGTTCTGCTGATGGTAAGTGTGTGTGTAAGGACTCAAATTTCTGAGACGATTTATTTAAAAAGATGAGACAGTCTCCTAACAGCTGGGAATAAAAATATATAATAAGAAAAACTATGTAATATTGGCTCACATAACACTGAACACAATGGCATGGGGATCATTTGAAAAGGAACTGGGGATTAGGTTGTCACACTGTATCAGACACATTGTGGGACATTCCACAGCGCTGTTCCACCAAGGCAGGTGACACCTCACAAATGTCGCCCTGTCACGGTCAGTGCCCCTCTCCCATTTGGGGCTTGCTCTTCCTTCGGTTGAAGTTTATAGGTTAAAGGTCCCCTATGTTCTGCCTTTTCTTCTCTTGACTTCGAGTTTGCGTTCTCCCTGAAGCTCTTCCTCTGATGGGTTCCATTACCAAACCCAAATCTCTTGATCCCCACTCCCATCTGTGCTGCTGCAGTGACCCCAACTACCCTGGCTCTTTTCTCCAAGCAGCCATGAGGTTGTAAATGCAGAGTGTATCATGATCCAGTGTCCCTTAAAAATCAGTCATTTCTCCTAGCACCAAACCCAAAACCTACAGGGCTTGACATGACCCTTGTCCCAAAGGTGACTCTCTCCAGACTCTGCACTGAAATCCATTCCCACTTCCTCAGTCTCCTCCTCCTGTCACTCGTGCCTGCACCTGCCGGACCTACACCTCCCACACCTGCTCTCCTCGCCCTCCAGCTCAGAGAAATCACCACGCGCAGAGCCGTGCTAACCTCCGTGTTGATTCAGCACTTTGGTCTCCCGGGCCACGATCCGCTCATACCTGCTGCATCACGGGAAGAAGCACATCCATCACCCTTTGTCGTTCATCCTGCATTCCTCCTCCGTGCTAGACCTGCCACCCCCTCGGCCCATGACTTCCTTGGCCCTTTCTATATGGTGTATCTCGGGAAAAGAGGGCTACATGTGCAGTGAGTGGCTGGGTCACGGGCAGGGCTACCAGAGTTCTCCTACAGTGTCGCTGACTGAAGAAAATGGGAAAGGGATGTAAGCACTGTCCTATGCGTCCATCCCCAGAGTACTCGGGTTTTCTTTTTCTTTTTTTTTTCTCTCCCTTTCCATCCTTCCTTCCTACCCAACATCTTCCTTCTTCTTTTCTTTCTTCATTTCTCCCTTTTCATCTTTTCTCTCACTGTTTCTTAGAATTTCATTTTGAAAAGCAACAATTGTCTAACGTGTTACACATAGATGCTAACACTTTAACCATCCTGTTTTTTAAATTATGACTAGGAGATTATCCAGGTCAACATCCATTTCAAATACCCATTTTTTTCCTTTTTTCATTCATTGTTTTCTAGAACTATTTAATCAACACCGATGTAATCCTCCTGGTTCTAGGTTGACAAGAACCTCAGTCTCCTCAGAGTACATAAAAATGCAGAATTTCTATAAATAGAGGTATAATAGCTATAAAACTGAAGAAAGGATTTTTGCTGTAGAATCTGAGGGTAATGTGTGCATGGTCACCATGCACTAGAAATGTGCAATGAAATTCCCTTCAAAAGAAAAGTGGAAGTGTCTAGGGACAAACTTGCCCCAAAGAGCATAATTTGTCCCCTGATCGGCTGATAGCAAGCGACCCCCAGGAGATGGTCTCCTTGTGGCTTGCAAAGTTCCACGCAGCACCGACAGTGACAGCAGGTGAAGGCCTCACTCACGGCCCGGCCCTGCGGTGTGCCTCTGAAGACTGCAGTCAGATGAGGACCCCTCCCTTCACCCTCACCCTGTGGCTGCTGCACTGCCTTCGCATTGCTGTTCTCACAGCCCGTTTGAAGTCTCTGTTCCTCAAGCTGTAGATAACAGGGTTCAGCAGCGGAGTGACAACGGTGTAGAAGACGGAGATGACCTTGTTGGCTTCAGGGGACAGGTGCACGTCAGGACGCACATACACGGAGATCATGGTCCCGTAGTAGATGGTGACAACCGCCAGGTGGGAGCCACAGGTAGAGAAGGCCTTGGTGCGGCCCGCCGCTGACGGGACCCTCAGGATGGAGGTCACGATGGAGATGTAGGACGCGAGCATCAGGAAGAAGCAAACGCACAGCACTGCGACAGAGAGCACGAAGATGAGCAGCTCTGTGGAGTAGACGCTGGAGCAGGAGAGCTGCATCAGCGGGGGCAGGTCGCAGAAGAAGTGGTCGATCTGGTTGGGCCCACAGAAGTCCAGCGTGCAGATTGTGAGGGAAGGCAGGAAGCCAGTGCCCATGCCTGCGAGCCAGCAGAGAGCCGCCAGCCGGGTGCAGGCATCTGCACTCATGAGGGAGGAGTAGCGCAGCGGGCTGCAGATGGCCAGGTAGCGGTCATAGGCCATCGCAGCCAGCAGGAAGCACTCTGTGGCCCCGAAGAACACAAAGAAGTAGAGCTGCACCATGCAGGCGGAGAAGGAGATGGCGTGGCCCCAGGAGGCGAGGTTGGCCAGGAGCCGTGGCACGATGGTGGAGGTGTACAGGATCTCCAGGAGGGACAGGTGCTTGAGGAATATGAACATGGGTGCTTGCAGGCGCAGGTCCTGGCTCACCATGGCGATGATGACCATGTTCCCAGTGATGGTGAGGAGGTAGATGCTCAGGAAGACAGCAAAGAGGAGGGCTTGCCATTCCAGGAGGCTCCGGAACCCCAAGAGCTGGAACTCAGTGATGGAGGTTGCATTCTGGGTTCCCATGGCCTGTACAGGGCAGGAAATGCTTTTGAGAAGCACACATGCAAGGCATAAAACATTTATAATTACTGAGGTGTGGGACTCAAAGGTTTTTTTCAAATCATCTAGGCTTATATGTGCAGGTTGTTAGATGGATAAAGGCATAACTCCGTCTTTCTTTGACATGACCACATTTTGAAATGGCAAGCTGAAAGTGAATGTTAGGACTTGGGAAGGGACAATCGGTTCCATTTCTTGGGGTTCTTTTAGACATTGAAGTCTCCAACCCAAAGACACAGGCAAGGACTGGAGATGTGGCTCAGTGGTAGAGCAACTTGCCTAGCATGTTTTAGCCCTTGAACTGAAACAAAAAAGATACAAAAAAGTACTCGGATTAGTAGATCACACACATGCAAAAAAAAAAAAATGCAGCTATCTATGGTGATCGATATGTTAATAAAACAGAACAGTGATTATCACAGTATACATACATATAAAATGCGTGACTGAAATACAACTTTTACTTGTCACTGTATAAGAAATTAACAAGAACAACAGTGCTGCATCAAAAGACACATGGGAGAAACGGCCTCTGTTCTTTTGAGTCTCTTGTCTGGTGGAGAGGGCTGATAGAGTATTCCCTGTGGCGCTATGGGGAAGTTCGTTCGCTTCTCTCAGACACTGATTTTCAAAGCCTTGCGTGTGCATATGTGTGTGTGTGCACGTACCTGTGCCCCTTGCTGGACCCTGCCCTCCCTGCTCCAGGAGGAGATGTCACCCTGTGCCCAGAGCCTCCTGCATGCGCCACATATACCCTGCCTGTTGCCGTTCCCTTGTCACACACAGCTCGGTGCACAGGAGCTGCTCCCAAACCGGGTGATCACACACAGCGAGGGGCCGGTCGCTCCTGGTCCGCCTGGCCCCACAGCACAGCACAGCACACCGCCCATGCCCTGGGCTGCTCACTTTGGGCTCTGCTCCCTGCTGCAGCAGCCCAGAAGGACAGGAGACCAAGAGGGAGGAGCCCAGGCTTCCGGGGATCTCTGCCTGGAGACCACCGCTCTGCGCTCTGGAGTGCGGGCCTCATCTCTGCCACAGTGGGACTTGGTCTATGCCTGGCCAAGGAGGAGCCACCCAGCCCTCTGTGCTGCTTCGCATGTACACACGAGCGTGCACACACCCACACACATGCACACTGGCTCATACACAAGCTCATGGGACACACACAAATAACTACATGCACGGGCGCACACACTCCCACACAGAGACATATACATGTGTGCACACGGACGCACACGTAGACACAGACTCACTCGCACACAGGGGAGGCCTGGGCTCTACCGACAGCCTCTTCTCCCCCAGCCCCGCCTCTCCAGAGCTTGTCTCCTCCTTTGGAGGTCAGCTCAGTGAAGAGCGGAAAGGGAGCGCTGGCGCTTTCCTGCCTGCCCCTGCCTCTGCTCCCCTCCTCCCTGCACTGGCCTTCTCTCCCTGTCACTCTGGGGCTCTGCCGCCCCAGCACTCAGCCTCCTGCCCTCCCCGTGGTCTCCGCAGCGCAGGGTGCACCCCAGGGCCCAGGATGCCCAGCTTTCCGCAGAAGCTCTGGCTGAGCGCCTCTCTCAGGCTCCGCCCTTCCCGGCTTCATGACGCCTCTGGCTTCACTCTTGTATCTGCTCACTCGCCCTGGCAGTGCTGGGCAGGGGAGGCAGCCCGCACTCTTGGGTTTGAATTCTGTCCTAGCTCCTAACCCTCAAGCTTTGAACAAGCTTCCTGTGGCCAGCTCCCCTGTGAGGAGCCCTGGGGCCGGCTCAGCCTCTGGTGCTCCCCCAGCAAGGCAGACTCTTGCAGTCCAGGCTGGGCTGTCCCGGGCTCAGCACCCTCCCTCTTCCTGGGCAGCAGACCACAGCCCGCCGTGTTTCTCCCAGACCCAGTGCTGTATTTTCCCAGATCCGATCTGACCACCGGCACCGCTTGCTCTCTGGAAAAAACTACATCTCCACCTGCGTCTGCGCAGCATCCCCCGCCGCTGCCCACAGAAATGCAGCCTCCCCGGAAGCCGCTCCCGACACATTCAAAACACAGGGTGATCCCGGGAAGAACTCGCTGAGCACCGCTGCGGTCCGACAGCCGGGCCTTCAGTGGTTCACAGCTCTGCTCTTCATCCTCCTTCCGACCCTGGTGCTCTTTGTGTTTCTTCCCTGTTCTGTTCACCTCCGCCATCATTGGTAAACAGCTGGGAATAGATCTTCACAGGGCCCTGGGTGTCTATGCCAGGGGAAAATACCTTAGCACCTTCGCCTTTCCTATCAGGAGCACAGAAGTGGGAGTCACTCATGCGGTGCTTGGCTTCTCAGAGGAAACTCAAGAAAGGGCACAGGAAGCGGGAGACCTCCTGAGGCTCCTGAGCCTGCCGCCCTCTCTTCCTGCCCCTCAGCCTCTTCCTCTGCCCTCTGCCTCCCGCACTAGGCCCTGGGTCTTTCAAGCCTCCTGGCATCAGCGTTTCTGTCACTCAGCAGGCTCCTCTCCTAGGGACACTGCAGGGGCTCATTTGTCACCCTGCATCTGCTCTGCCCAACAGCACTTTCTCCGAGATGCCCGGCTGACTTCTCAAGAAGTCTTAGTCAGTTACTTTTCTGTTGCTAGTTTTATATCCAGGACAATTTAGGCAAAGTCACCTACTACTTCCAAACAGGTAACAATCCTCCAAGGCTAAGTTTACCTCGACAGTGAGGAATAATTTATGGGGTTTAGTATAATTTTAGAATCCAACCACAGCCAGAACAAATCCACAAAACCCCGTGTGTCCATCTGCCACTTACACACATACTGTGCTGGCCTCCTCTGAAGGCTGCCACACACATCCATAGAAGAGTCCTCATCCTGCCCTTCCTGCTGGTGTCCCCAGGGTGGAGTGGCCCCTGCTGCCCTGTTGGTGTCGCCCTCCTAGAGCCTGAGTCTCCAGTGTGCTGTCCAGGTGCCAGCCGGACGGCGCCATCGTTGGCCTCTGTCTGACGCTGGGTAAAGCAGATTCTCCTTTAATAACCCCGGTCTCCTGGGTCTCCTGGGGACCTGGCCCTTCCCAGGGTGCCCTCCCCAGATATTCTGTAATTTGCCCATCCAGTTAGTAAACAATGAAACCAGCTTTCTGCCACTAGACTCTGCCCTGGAGACCCCATTGTCATGGAAGGCTTGGGGTGGATGCAATTCTTGGATTCCCTTTGAAATAGATTTTTAAAAATTTAACCTAGGATAGGTCTTAATAATGGTGAATTAAAACCTGAATCAAACAGAAGGATTTCTTTAAACCCAGCAAGAGGTGTATTCACAAGGGGACTGTTCTCACTAGTGTGCCAGCGTGCTCTGCAGAACGGCATTTCACTACCAGGCTCTTGTTACACGGGGGGTTATACACATGTATGTGCAAAACACTTCACTAATGCAGCTGCAGAAATCTACATTAAACTCCTTCTAGTGCAGGTTTCTCAATTTAATTACAAATTAGCAATACATGAAATGGCCTGAGAAATTATGTTAGAGTTTCAGAAGATGAGGTGAGGAAGAAATTATGTACAACACATTTTCAGTATAGCAGAATTTTTTTAAAATCCTAAATTTATGAAAATAATTAGTAACAGCTAATGTGTTAATACTTCTAGTTAAAATAAACTTACATTTTAGTTTAAAATAAAATACTTTAAGAAATCTTTTTGCTGTAATTATTAGCATACATTAGTCACACAAATCAATGGGTTTGGCTATGACCTTTCATACACACATGTATCATTTTTTATCATATCTTCTCTCCCTCCTACCTTTTCTTTTTAAATGTCTATGAGTATGGGTCTGTGGGACATAGTAATGACACCCAGCCTGGGGCTGACGCGCACCCCATCACCAAGATCTTCATTGGTTATTGTACCATTCTGCCCTTCTCTCTCATTCCTCGCTCGGGTCCCTGTCCCCAAAGAGTCCAGCTACCTATTTCTTAATCTCCATCTCCTATTTGGCTGCGTAGCCTCTTTATATTTTGAAGCTCTCAAATTAGAGAAATCATGCAATATTTAGCCTTTTATATGATTTATATTACTTAGTGTTATGGTCTCAAGATTCATCCATCTTCCTACAAATGACTCAAATTTATCCTTCTTCATGGAAGAGTAATATTCCATTGTATAAACACATTTTCCTTGTCATCTGTTGATGGACACACGGGCAGCTTCCGCAGTTTAGCTATTATGCACTGTGCTGCCATAAACATGGCCATGTGTGTTTCACTGCAGTCTGATGATTTCAGCTCTTGGGGAGACACCTAGAAGGGGAATAGCTGGTTGAATGCACTGTCGAGCTTTGGTTCTCTGAGGAATCTGTACCCTGACATCCCTGGCGGTTGTGCTGGTTTACATCCCACTAGCAGTGTCCTTTCCATGCTTTCTTGCAACTCCTTTTCTCTCTCCTCTGCTTGCGCCCTCCCCTCATCTCTTCTACTGGAAGAAAATATTGAAAGTGTGAAGATCTCCCTCCCTCATTCCCTTCATTTTACCTAATAGTCCCTCATTTACTAAAAGAAAATATTCAAGATTTGCATAAATAATTACCAAAAACAAAGTATGTACTTTTTTGATGTTAATTACCATTCATTCAGCAAATATGCATTTAGCAGGCACTGCATGTTTGAGACTCTTATAGACGTATCGGTGAATTACACACCCAGTTGGAGGGGGACTCTGCATCATCTGTCCTTTACTAGCGATTGATACTAATGGGAGCTGTCTCAAACGAATGTGATTTATGGTTTCAGAAACATGTTTCATAGCTTTTAGAGAATTCAGAAAAGGAAGGAAACAGACGAAAATACCTCTTCTAGAATACCACAGCCCTGTCTCCCAGAAGCAGGTGTCCAGTAACTGGCTTTCCACACACTTGTGTGTCCCTCACTCGCCACAGCACAGCCGGGTCCCTGTGTGGCCTCACACCTCAGCTCTCTCTGTATTTCTTGCTCCATAAGTACCCATCACAGGCCTTCCCTC